TCAATCGCCAAATTAAAAAAATAAATAAGTAAAATAAAAAAAAAAACCGAAATGTTTCACTAAACCATCTTCCGTTTTAGTGCCAAATTATAGTGGGGAGTTCAGCAGTAGTTTAACTCAATATATATATTTTTTTTTCAGGGTTTTTTTTTTCATTTTTAATCGTACTTCGGATTGTTTATTTTGATTTGACTGCATAGATAAATATATTTAAGTTTTTACAAATATCATGAAGTAAACATTTCAACTTCGTTGAATTAAGTATTGCGTAAATCTAAAACATTCATCATTGATTCCCAATTTTATAAGAAATGTTCATGATAAACACTTCATTAATTATTTTTACGTATATCCTAGTAAATCAGTTAAAAAAATTAGTTCTCAGACATGTATAAAATTACTTATCAAAACGTCATCTAGCTGAGACGCCGCCCGTGTATAAAATACATTTGGATATTAAAATATTATTTAACATTTAGAATAATGCACTCTGAAGAGTAATTAAACAGAAAAAGAGAAATCATTTTTTTTTTAAATCTTTTACGCAAAGAATTTACAAACTTCTCTAGAAACTTGTAACTATTTCATTGTGACGCAATATTAGTCAGGTATATGACGTCACTGATACATCAATGGAAACGTGGATTCAACCTGAATAATAGAGCCAATTTTAATCTAAATATTACGTCTGGAGGCGAAAATGAAATATATTTTGAAAATAAATTATTTAGTTTTTTGTTTAATTATTTTCTTTAGTGTATCGATTCTAAATATTTCACCAGGATTCCGATAAAAAGGTGTTGAGCAGATTTACCGATGCCACGGGAGATAACTCTTGCATCGCAAAATTTCATAAAAACGTCCTTTTATTTTGCCGGAAAACTACTATCAAAAGTGTTTTTCCCACCGATTTTATTTTTTAAACAAAAATTTGAAATATTTCAAGATTTAGTTAAATGTGAATTATAGTCCTGTTAAAAATGTATTAGAAATTACAGTTCTTTGTTTCTGACCTACATTCAATGGTTTATATAGGGCATTCAAAAACACAAAACACAAGGATATTTTACTAAATAAGCAATTATCAAACAAATCTTCAATTACATTATTCCTTTTGGGCTACATTGATATTGTTTTTAATAAAATATCAAATATTCCTCACATTCGATGTGCCGCCTATTAATACAATACTGCCTGGTTTTTCGGTGGACTGCCTCTTAAGTAGATAATTATTATTTTATTATAACCAACAATTAACAAAGATATAGATTTATCCTATCTTCTTATATAAACGAAGCCAAAATTACGATGATATGAGCTGACAAGTAGTGTCAACCACATGTGAGAAGAATGTATACCATATGATACACTACTAAAAAAAAGTTAATGGAGAAAGCCATTTGATTTTCGAATGATTTAAATCATTTGAATCGAGCGCATTGAGGTACAATTTTCTCCTTTCATATACAGGTAGATTTTAATGAAAGAGAGTGACTAGCCGAGAGAGAAAAATGTACCCAACTGCGCTCTTGTATTTTAAGGGCTTTGTAAAGTGGGGCGGGCTAAAAATGAATGGAAATTTGATGTAATCAGTGTACCCCTACCTGAAATTAAGCTACATATCTTAATATAATCTTATTTTCGAAAAAAAGTGGTATTCCATAAAAGTACATATATTAAAGATTAACTATATTCTGGTTTTGTTCATCTGCTGAGGGACCGTTTTGCACTTCATCCTTTCTTGATTTTATATAAATGATATTGCAGTTGGAATTATTTTGTGTGCAAAATATCTGAAAATTATCAAAAGGCAATAATGAGACCTTTTTAATAAAAACACAATGTATATTTAAAGACGATAGATGTGGAGGGTGTGAACACCAGGGTTAAATACCCCTAACCCATCCTCATTCCCGCTAGCGCTCATACAATGTATATGTACTATAGTGATTTTGAAAGAAAAAAGGTCTTTCTGATAAATATTCGTGAATTTTGTTTTTTTCTAATTAAATGTGAAGTTTTTGATAGTGTTTGTCATGGGCAGTCTCATTTCTCTAAGATTATACAATATAATCGTAATCTACAAAATCACTTTTAATTAAGAACCCAAAACTTTTAAGATTCCCTCAATTAGATCAGGTATTTCTCTCTCTCTTTCTCTCCGTATGTGTGTCTGTGTCTCAAACTCTGAAACTATGTTCTCTCGACACACTTTTTTGAACATACTTGGATCAGAAGGATTTATTTTTTTTATATATTACAGTGTAAAATTCACTGTTCTAGAAAAAAAACAAAAACAACTTTATTTTGGACTTTACCTTTCAATTTCTTATTTTTTTTGTCATATTTTATTTCTCAGGATATGTTAAACGAATCTAATTGTTTGATTTAATTTACGATGTGACACTTTACGGACAATTGATCTGTTATTAGAGAGACAGAGACAGAGTGCTTTGTCTCAAGAACTGTTAATCTCCTATAACAACATTGTGTAATTATCTGTTCTTCATGCCCAACCATCAAAGAGTTATTAAGTATATTTAGTTACTCCATACCTGTGAATCTTTCACTCATGACACATTGTGACACAACTGTCGAACATATAAATGAATCAGATATACCCGCCACGGATAAAACTCAAGTGACTTTCATACTCATGGTTGTCATGTGTCTGTTCGTCTGTCTCATGGAACCATAGAATGGGGCCAGAATATGGGATCAATTTTTTACATTGAGTATACATATGACAAAACAAATCTTTAAAAAAATTCTCGAGAATATGAGGGGTATGGTTAGTGAAATTCAAATGCAAGCATCCTCCGGTAGTGCAGACTCATTTTTTAAAACAATGCACCTGGATAAGGTCAAAAATAGGGATAAAAATATTCATGGGAATATAGAGGGAAACATTCTTGAAAATCTTCTCAAAAACCACGATCGAATCCATATTTTGCAAACACTTTTAAGTTGTATGGTTCCATTTTTTTAAATTTCAAATCATGGATTTTGTGAATAAGGTTAGGCTAAAATCGGGAATTAAATTATACATAATGCATATATACAGAAAATAAATATATTCCTCTCCACTAACAACAAGCCATATTAATAATTATACTAATGTTGAAGCATCCCCATGTGTACATTCAGAGATTTCCAGAGTTTGAGTGGGGCTACAATAATTGGGATACAATTTTTCATAAAAAAGGTACAGAAAATTGTAAATAAATAAATAAAAAAAAATCCTGAAGAATTTCAGGACTAAGATTACTTTATTGATTGTTGTGCATAGCCTCATATACATGTAGTCTTCTTCTTGGTTTTTAAAAACAGACTAATCATTTACATTACACTCTTTTAGGGTCGCCTGAGTTTACTGGGATGGATTTCATGGCCCCAGGGTCATGGGTTCTGGTGGTAGGGCGGGACTCTGATGATTATACGTGTATAGTGAAAATGCTCAATTCTTTAAAAATCTTCTCCTCTGCTCCTGGGTATTAAGCCAATGAACTAAGTACATAGTTATGATGAAGAAGAATGCTTCTTGCAATATTGTGAATTTCATTGCCCCTGGGTGAGGCTTTCTGGTGTTAGGGCAGGGCTCTAATGATTATATAGTAAAAATGCAGTAATTCTTTGAAAATCCTCTCCTCTGCTCCTGGGTATGTAGGCGATGAATTAAGTAATAGTTATGATGAGGAAAAGTGTTTCTTCCAAAATTGTGAATTTCACAGCCCCAGCGTCAGGGGCTCTGGTGTTTGGACGGGGCTCTAATGGTTATATAGAGAAAATGTATTAATTCTTTGAAAATCTTCTTCTCTGCTCCTGAGTATTAAGCCGATGAACATAGTCATAACGAGAAAGAGTGCCTCTTTAAAAGTTGTGAATTTCATGATTCCTGGGTCAGAGGTTCTTGTATTAGGGCGAGGCTCTAATGATTATAAAGTGAAATTGCATTAATACTTTGAAAATCTTCTCTGATCCTGTGTATTTAGCCAATAAACTAAGTAATAGTTATGATTAGGAAGAGTGCCTCTTCAAAAATTCTGAATTTCATTGCCCATGGGTCAGGGGTTCTTGTGCTTTGATAGGACTCTATTGATTAATGAGAAAAAAATGCATCAATACTTCGAAAATCTTGTCTTCTGCCTCTGAGCTAAGCAAACGAACTAAATGCAATAATATCAATGTAAATGTATTAATTTTTTTTATTGTAAGTGATATGCCTTTCTTTGTTCCTGGGTATCTAGGAGTCAGTTGTAATAAGTGAAGCAAATGAGAGTTACCCCCTTTGCTAGATTGTGTTAATCAAGAAACCCTTTTTATAATTTAATTAACAGCGTATTTGATTGAATGGGAATACAATAAAGAATGTTATATATATATATATATATATATATATATATATATATATATATATATATATATATATATATATATATATATATATATATATATATATATATATATATACAGTATTTAAATGCATAAAGGATGCTTAAAGTCAGAATCTTGCATTGAAAGCAATATGAAAGATTGACATGGACTTTATTTATATATTTAGCAGAAGTTGAAAATGTACACGGTATGTTTATACTGTTATACTGAGGTGATCTGTTTGACAGTGGATGAATTATTATTAGGTAAAATTTAAAAAGAGACTGGATAAAGTTGTTTTATATTTTATCAAAGTGAACAAAGAATCACAGGGAGCTAGTGTGACTTATTGTAATCAGTGACAAGTGGCAAATAGCAACATTATATAGAGCCAAGTCTCTGTGTACTGAATTGTAGCACTAGGCAAATGACATATATTGAATACCTTACAGAATAGAATTTTGTTTCATACTTCTATGGATCCTTTACAGTGTTGTATTACACTCAGGTGACCGTAAAGGCCCTTGAGCCTCTTGTTTCTTTGTATCTCTATAAACAGGTAAGAAATAATTGTTATAACTAAATTATTGTTTTTTTTTTCTTTATCAAGCATCCTTAGGCGAAGAAGAGTACTTAGTGTCAATGCAAATCTCTAATAATTCTGAAGAATTTGTCCAATTTTGGAAGAACCATTGTAGCCAGAGAAACATACATCCTACAGATTGGTCTAATGGAGTCTGTGATACAGAAATCACAAGATATTTCTCAGTATACACAATCATTTCCGGATACGAAAATGGTAAAGAAAGAATTTATTTGACATAACATGTTATTTATAAACGATAGATATTGTTGAAGGGGAAAATATTAAGGAAATATCCCAATTTTTAAGTACTAACTTTCTTATAGTTATGTAAATCTAGAAGCATTTTCTGGTTGTGTAAACTCAAAATCGTTCAATCCATGACCTCCGGTGTAGATTATAGGTCCAAAACACGAATTTTTATTGGAAATGTATGGAAAAAAAATCTCAGCTCTGTAGATAAAAAAATTATTCAAATTATTTACCCCGGGGTTAGTATGAGATCGCAATGGGGAGACCAGTTTACAGGTGAATATTTTGAAAAAATCTTTGTTGATAATTTCCGAAGAAAGAAAGGCCATATCACATATGGCCCACATATAATATTTATATGCAAACATCCTTAGGCAGTACATATAAAAGTTTACTTCAGGTATATAGGGCAGCAAGAATCGAGCATTTCATGGAAAGTCAAAAAAAAAATTATTTTGTCGAAAGTTTTTGGTATATAATTGATGTTGTCCTACCTAATGCTCAAACATAATTAAAAATTGTTTTGGACATATTAAGGGACTGGTATCCAAGGAAATCCATTTCCTTAATAACAGGTTCATAAAATAATCCTTATGTTTGTTTGTTTGTTTGAATGTTGTTTAACGTCCCTCTCGAGGATTTTTCACTCATATGGAGACGCCACCACTTGCCGGTGGAGAGCTGCAAATTGTGTCCTATACTCGGCACTTACGGCCATTCTTTTTCGTGCCAGCACCTACTGCGACGCGGGACATCGGTTTATACGGTCTCATCCGAAGGACCGGTCTCCACATCCCACAGTGGGATTCGAACCCGCGACGTAAGAATCAACTCCTTACTTCGCGACTCTAGAGCAGACGCTCTAGCCACTGCGCCACGCGGGCCAATAATCCTTATGAATATCAATGATTTTTAGCCATTTTTCTATGAATATGTTTTCTGTACATGATAAGATAATGTATTATGATTACCTTATTGATTAAAATAATTAATTACCTTATTTCCCAAAAATTACAAAAAAGAAATTTCTGTATTGATATTGTTGCCATGACAATGGGAATAGAACATGACATCAATGCGTATTAACTTTGGAAATATTACGTATGTTTATCACTATATATGCAAAATCTACAACCACGGCTGGAAAAATGAAGTGTGTGCTCTTATTAGGGGTCAGCTATATGTCATAACTAGAAAAAAAATATTGGTAGGTAACTCTAATAGAAACTAGAGTGTTCTAAGGAAAGCATGTGTTGCCTGCTTTGTAGCTTTATTAAAGGTGTAAATAAATCTAAGGGTGGTCAGCTTTTAATTTTCTATAGGCATGATAGACTGATAGTTCATGCATTTCCCTGCAAAGTAAAAATGGCATCCATGGATAGTATGACTACGATAGAATCTGACAAATATGTTTGTAGGGTAACTGAATATCATACAGTTTCAAAGTACTTTTTCATGAGCTAAACGTGCTTCTAATAATCATTCAAAAGAGATTCCAGTCTGTTTTTACTGAAATTCTCAGTCTACACGATTCATTGTAGAATACCGATCCCGATGTATTTTCATATTATTCAAAAATAAAAGTTTGGTAACTGAATATCATACTGTTTCAAAGTACACTATCATGAGCTCATAAACATGTATTAATGCTAATCATCTAAACCCTACCTCTCAAAATTCAAAAGTCATATATAAGTTTAATTAAACTGCCAGAGATATTTTTTGCAAAGTAGGTCTAAGGTCAATGTCAAGTGGATTGTAATGCTAGCATTTTTCATAGTGTCTTATGACAAACATTGTACATGCTATATAGCATAGGCTTACCTCTTAAATGTAAAAAAAAAATATGCTGTGTATCGGCACTATGAGCTATTTTGAAAAGTATGTCAAAGGTCAAGGTCGGAGGTCAGTAACCTTGGTAATTTACAAAAGCCCTAGTGCCAAGCAATATACGTGCAAAATATCAAATTCATATCTCTTAAAGTTTTTTGAGATATAGGGTGTGACAGACGGACAGACAGACAGTCGCCGGGTAAAGTGATCCTTTAGTGCCGCTCTGCTCTGCAGGCGACACAAAAAGTTACAAAAAGTCAAAATGTGTATCAATCTGGCATTTAGAATCTTTTTTGAAGGGGGGGGGGGCTGAATACACATATAGTATCCATTATATTGGTTCTGATCAAAGCCTACTCATAAATTTACTATTGTTGAGTAAAAAATGCACATTCAACTTCAGAGAGGATGTTATACCCCCACAAACGAAACTTGGAAGGGGGTATAGCAATCACCTTGTCTGTATTTTGTAGGTCCATCTAGCCATATGTCAGTACAATCTTGTCAGGTCCATAACATTTCAATAAGAAGCCATTGAAAGTTCAAGCTAGATTGCTTATGACCTGGAGATGTGTCATGAACTGATCCAAGGTCATTTGAACATGTTCAAGGTCATTGGTAGGAGAGTACTGCAATTCGTGCCCACTCAATAACATTCCAATGAAAAGACTTGAAAGTTTATACTTAACTCAAGGTTTATTTATGAGCTGTGTGTTTGTCATGACGTTGACCAAAGACCATTTGTGCATGTTTGACCCTGACTAAAGGACATTTGGCATATTCAAGGTCACTAGTAAAAGTGTACTATTTGTGTTCGGTACATAATTTCGAGCGAAGAGACATTGGCAGTTTGTGCTTTACACAAAAGTTTTACTACCTATGACTTGAGTATATTTCATAGTCATTTGGGTATGTATATACACACTTGCAGCAAAGGTGTTAAATTAATGTCATATATTTGTAATAAAAAGCATTTCATTCTAATCAATAGTTTGAAAGAATATGCTGCAGAAGTTAGGCGTTGTATCATTATGAGCTTGCTCACAATAAAAATAGTTTGTTCAAATATGATGTGCTCAAGGTCACAGAATCAGATGAACATGGACACAAGGGCAAGTATGAGTGAAAGTGATATATCTTTCATTTAATGCAATCATGATCACAAAATGCCTTTCAAAACATGCATTGATTGAAACTGGGATACTGGCACTTAAATAAGAGTCACTATGAGAGCTCAAATAATTGTAGTAAAACCATTTCAAGCAGGCATGTAGTATTAGGGTTGAGGTTGGGAGGAGGCACCTGGCTACTTTTTATTACAAACATAACCTTTACAATTGAAAATGTTCAATGAAAGATAAATTTGCCCCTCCCTTCACTTTTTGTCGTAGCATAGTTAAATATGGTAATTATACCCCACGCCACAAGTTGCGTGAGGTATAATGTTTTTGACCCGTCCGTCCATCAGTCAGTCAATCAGTCCGTCAGTCCTGTTTTTTTTTGTCAGCGCAACTCCTCATAAACCGCTGCATAGAATTTCGTCAAACTTTGCAGATATTTAGGACACAATGTGTAGATGTGCATATTACCAGGAAATTCCGATTCCATTATTTTTGCCTTAAGAGTTTTGCCTATTTTTCAAGAAACTTTCCAGCTTAAGATAATAAGGAAACCACTGAAATCAGCTTTTGTAATGAAATTTTATGTGAAATATTTTATGACCTTAAAAGACCCCTATTGATTTTGAGATCAAAATATTTCATGATTTAACACACACACACACACACACACACCCTCACACACACACACAATCTTAGATAGTTCTAACCCCCCCTTCCCCCCCTCAAATTGATGCTTTGCTTTAAATAATTTCATAAGTACAGTATATAAACAAATTCATACAACTACATCATAATTTTGTTTCCATCAATTATTTAAATGTGTAAATTGTCATGTGTTGGACATGAACTTACACTCATTAATAAATCGAAATCACTGAGGAATTTAAATAACAGTTTGTCGGCATAACTCCTGCTCTGAATTTCCTGAAACTTTGTAGGTATTTCAGATATAATGTAAGAATATGTAAGTTAAATTTGTAACATACAAAGATTTGAATGTCCTTATATGCAAGAAGTTTTGATGTGATGATTTTTTTGCAAGTAATGCCCCTTTTTGAAGTATACTGTGTATTTAAAATGCACTGTGCCATTCATTACGTATTGCATTGTCGAGTTTTGGGGGAGCGTAGGGTATGTGAGCTTGCTCAATTTTTCTTTCATTTATTAAATGAATGTATTAATAAAATTTGGTTGTGAACGGAAGTTGGACCTGCCTAATTTTGATATTGATTGATTGATCTTTAATATCCTTGTTCTATGATACTTCAAAATGCAGAATATAAAGATGTGTCTCAAATTCATTCACTGTCTAATTATGAAACTGCATGCCAAGAATTAATTAGAAATTAATTTTGCATCAACTAAATTGTGCTTACAGTCAAACAAAGAATGTTACAGTGTACTTGTGGATGAAACATTTTTATTTGAACCACTTTCATGAATACATTGCATGGATCTGTCTTCTGGCTCCCTGAGGGTAACCATTATCCACTGACTTCCAGCATGGTCTGCACTGTAATAAATCTTAAAAATAGTGCAATGAAAATTAGAATGTTATAATATTATATAGCTTTGCCTTCATATACTAGGCACTATTTCCGGTTGAGCTTGTTTCAATTGTTCGTTTTGTTTGTTTTTAATTCTTTTAAAATTCTTATTTAACGTCTGAATATCAAGTGATCTGATTTATACGATTTCTTTTTTTTTCTTTTTGGATATAAACAACATAGATGATGTAATATGTTTCCCATATATTCTGTATTTCAAGAATATTATACCTTCACGCTCCTATCTAGTTATTAGAAAAAAACACCCAACAAATCCCATGCACACAGGTTATGTGTCCATTCCTTTTCCACAAACCCAGGTAATTGTGGAAAATAGAATGGACACAGAACCGTTGGCTTGTGATGATGATTAATGCAAAGCATGTTTATTGATATTAAATTCCAAGAAATCCCAATGGTTAATTGTCTTATCAAAACAAGTTTATGTTTGTACAATATGTGT